AGGAAAATGTTTACACATGCCAGCTTACTAAAAGATATTGCACAAGATACAGACGAAGAAGAGATGCATAAGGTGAGGGATGGGGGGGATGGGTTCCCACAGGAGCTTGTTCATGGTGTCCCAGATGTCTTGTCCCGTACCCAGGCATCTTAATATCTGACATAATAAGTATCTCGTGTTTCATAGTCTTTCTAAGGAAGCTGTAACAAAATTCTTTTTGCTGTTTTAGGCCTCTTCCTATAGACTTTAGAACCACACACCCACCCACTGTGGCAGAATCACTGAGGTTCTACATTACTTTGCTAGTACCACAAAGTGTCACAAACACTTAACAGAAATTTCCTTATAATTTGGCAGGATTGGTTCCTCCTCAGGTCTCTTTCCTTGCCCTATAGACACTAACTCCTCCCTGTTTCACAGTTATGCCTCTGTGACTGTGTCTTTTTCTCCTTTTTAGAAAAAAAAAATGGTGCATATTAGTAATATAGAAAAAGATTCTATTTGGTAAATTGATGCATGCATAGTACATATTTTTATTACTTTCATCCTTTCTTACCCCCTTCTCTGATCCCCTCACCCACCTTTAAAACTGTATCTTTAAAACTTTCCTGTCAACTTTTTTGTTTTTTTTTTTGGTGTGTTTTTTTGTTTTTGTTTTTGTTTTGTTTTGTTTTTGGTTTTTTTTGAGATGGGGTCTTGCTATGTAGTTCAGGCTGGCCTTGAACTTGTGGCAGTCTTCCTGCCTCAGCCTCTCAAGTGCTAGGATTACAGGTGTGCACCACCATGCACCCCATCTAATCTCTTCTCAAGGGTTCGAGTCCTGTTGAAGCAGAGCCTGCCCTTATGAAGCCATTTAACCTTAACTATTTCTTTAACGGTTCTATGTCCAAATATAGCCACATGCTAAGATATTCAGGTTAAGGTTCAACATATGGATTTTAGGAAGGTACAATTCATCTCATACCTGTGACTTTTCTTTTTTTCTGTGAATTTATGAATTGACTTGTAAAGAATCATCACTTCCACAATCCTGAGCTGTCCTGTTCTTTTTCATACCTCCACTTATGCAGGCCTTCTTTTAGGTTCTTTCATAATTTTTTATGTTTTCCATAGATAATCTTCATGTGGAAATTTAATTATACTGTTGGTTTCTAATATAAATAATATTTTATATTTCCTAGCTATTTCTTGTTCAGATAAAGAAAATTTGCTATATTTCATCAAGTGTAAGTTATACATTTTGCCACAAATTACAGAATATTCAAGTGGTAACTGCTTAAACAAATAGATAGGGTCAAGAGGCCAGGCATTCCCTACTGTAAGGGCAATGGAGCAGCCTCCACTATATCAGAGACCTCGTGTTTTCCACATTTCATCCATACTATCAACTGTACCCCAAAGCTTTCAGTTGTTGTGACGACCCCAGGAACCAAGTCCAATCGAGGCAGGAGAAAAGGAAAATAGGGCATGCCTTCCTGGGCAGAACAAAGCCCTCCCTGGAACTACCCGGAGTACGCAGTGTGTCTCCCACTGCAGGGAGTAGGCTGGAAGTCAGCACCTGTGGGCAGCAGCATAGATCTGGCTGTGGACCTCACCATTCCATACATTGTTTCCTTTTTCTTGGAAGTTCTGCCAATATGAGTAAACAAACAAACAAGCAAAAAAGTAAACAGAAGTGATGAAAGCAGGTAAACTTATCTTGTTCATATTTTTTGAAATAATTTAAATGCTCTAAGTATATTTTATGGAGGTTTTCAAAACAGCCTTTGTCAAGTTAAATTTTTTGCCTCCACAGTGAATTTTCTTAGCATTTGATTCCTCAAAAATGAGTATAGATTGAAATCAAATGCTTTGTCTTCCTCTCTTGAGGAAATTAAGAGCATTTTTTCTCCACTACAGAGTAAAGTATGTTGGCATATTTTACGATTAAAAAACCATCTGAACCTGAAGCAATCATGATATGCTGTCTGATATATCACTGGATTCATTTTGTTTTTGTTTTTGTTTTTGCTTTCCCCAGTACTGGAAATAGAAGGCAGAGGCAAGTGTTCCAGCACTGAACTGCATCTCCAGTCCTTTATTATTTTGAGAAAGGGTTTTGCTGAGACAGGGAGTTGCCCAGGTTGGCATTAAACATTTGATCTTTCAGCCACAAGTGAGGATCACAGGTGTACACCACTGATTCTAGCTTCATTCTGTCAATATTTTGTTAGCGGCATCACATCTATATTCAAACATTTAACAGCTTAAATATTTTTCATATTGCCTTTACACATCCTAAGATAAATCTCACACTTCAAATAAAAGGTTTATAGCCTTGGAAATCAGTGGGAGGGTCCCTTTTCCTTCATATTCCCTATCTTGTCATGGATCTTCCTTCCTCCCTGTTCTTCTGTTCCCATCCTTGGAACAACTATCAGGTTCAGAACCCAACAGTGACCCTCTGGGTGCACACCCTTCCCTGTTGTGTGCATGTCTTTTGACAGACATTTTCCTTAACTTTAACATTTCCTTTAATCCCTTTTCCCTTTGGGGAGATGGGACGATAATTTTTTTATTAATATTCAGAAGTTTCTTTTTAGTCTCTTTTACTCCTTTTTCACAAGTCCTATTCTTATTTTATAAATATAATATCTGGCCCTGTCATCCTGGATTCTTTTTTCCCCCACTTATTTATTATATCTATACACATATATATATAGCTGCTTTTTTTTTAATCCCAATATCCTCCCCTCAAGCCCCATCCTTTCACCATAATAGGGATTCCTTTTTAAGTTTTCCTCTGATTCTTTAACCTTCTTAAGTAATTTTTGTTGTTGTTTTGGGATTTTTGGCTTTTTTCTTGCTTCTTTTCCTTGACCTTTCTCTTTTGTGTTGCAGCTCTCCTTGAACGTCTGATAAATTTAAACTAATGCCTCAGAAAGGGATGCAGGGAGCCAGCCATTGGGCTGGGATACTTCTAACTGCAGACAGTCCAAATATAACTAGTTCATGGGGAGTTTCACTCCCTAACCCAAGACTGTTAAATCCAGGAGATGAATCTGGGTCACCGGAATGATCTTCCTTCCTATTTGGGACCTGCTCCTACCATCCATCCATATGGACTCCACACTCAGCTTCACACCAGGAGATTAAAGTCCTGGGCCTGCACTGAGAAGCAGGCCTGTGGCTGCACAAACACATGGCTGCCTGGAACAGAAGTTATACACCCATCCTAGGTCTGGAGAGTGCACAGTCACAGCCAGACCTCACAGGCCAAAAATAAGAAAAGGCTAAGTCAAGCGTGGGGTGCATGCCTATAATCCCAGCATTTGGAAGCCTGAGGCAGAAGGATCGCTGCAAGCTTGAAGCCAACCTAGACTACATAGGGAGTTCAAGACCAGCCTGAACCACAGAGTACAGGCACAGGAGTCTGCAGATGAAAAAATAAAATAGATAGGGCCAAGGATATAGCTCAGTGGCACCATGCCTGCCTGGCAAGCACAAGGTCCTGAATTCAATCCCTGGTACCAAAACAAATTTTAAAAAATAAAATAAAATAGGTGCCTCCTTAGGCCTTCCAGTTAATTCTGACTAGAAGGAGTTGAAAAATTAAACTTTACTGGAGAGATTCCCATGGGAAACAAGTCAAAGACAGGGGTAGAAAATCTAAGAAAGAAAGAAAAAGAAAGAAAGAAAGAAACAAACAAACAAACAAACAAAGCAAGCAAGCAAGCAAGCAAGCACCAATGGTCTTGAGACAAGTACCAAGAGACCAGAAAGAGCTGATAGGCAGGAAACAGAAAGCCAGGTGTATAAGCGATATCACTTCAATCTTCAATAAAATACAGGGGAAGCAAGGGGGTGACTTTAAGGCAGTGTGTACTCACACCTATGCACTAACATACACGCTTATATATGGGTATATTCGCATTAGAGTCACTATATTATTCACTTGGGTCATTACAGAGTACAGTAGATATCCACATGCCCTATTGCTAACTCTAAGATAACCAAGAATAAGGCACCCCCTTGCCAACTAGCTGTCTACCCCAAAGATAAGGCCTTAGAAGTTACATCAAGAACAAGTAAACAGACACAAAAAAAGCTGCACATAGAACATCAGAAGAAATGACACTAGGCAAAGGCACCCAGAAGCAAGTTCTAGGTAGAAGGAAAAGAGTCACTCACCCACCCTTTATAAAAACAGCTAAAAACAAAGGGCCCATGGGTCCACCCTCTTTCTAGAGCCCCCTACCCGATTATCATGGTAGCTTTCTATCTTCTCCTTTCTCTCTCCTTTTCCTCTTTACAAATAAAGTGTCTTCCTTTCATTAAACTTTGTCCCTCTAATTTATTATTGGGGCCATCTAACAATCCTGGTGAGCTGCTTGGACAACAGAGCAATGATGTCCTCCACCAGATGCAACAATAGCAAGACCATCTCAAAAAAACAAAAAAACAAACAAACAAACAAAGCACAGAGTTGGGGGGGCGGAGTCACACAAAGAGGTAGGGGGAGCTTGCTCCTTGGAGCATTTCCAAAAGTGGTCCCTATTCCAGCCCAGCAGCACCTGGGAAGCAGCTCAGTCTAGGGCAGTAAGGATTCGTCTTGCCGGGGAGCAGCTGCTTAGAGGACTACCTGGCAGGGTCTGAACCATGGTCATTGTATAAATAGCATCACCTTAAGACACCCAGTTCATCCTTGGGTCCACGAGGAAGTCCCTCAGGAAGAGGGTCTGCTAAGAGTAGGACCTTGGGGAGGCAGATTGCCTCTGCACCTGGAACATTCTGTGGTCCCTGGGGCTAGGACATCCACCTGCCTAGAGATGGGGGTTTGGGGGGGCA